GAGGGATGGTCAGGTCAGACACAGGAAGGGATGGTCAGGAGGTCACACACGGGGAGGGATGGTCAGGAGGTCAGACACGGGGAGGGATGGTCAGGAGGTCAGAGGGGATGGACAGGCAGGTACTCGAGGTGGCGCAGACGCACCGGGGACGCTCGATGGTAGAGCAGACCACTGTCTCTGGTGCTGCGGAAGCCAAAGCCAGAGTAGACGTCACCCGTGAGGGGCGTGACATCAGGGAGCGCCAGGGGCAGGAAGCCGTGGCCGTGGAAAGTCATGGCCCGTTCCACCTGCAGGGAGGGCAACCGTGAGGACCCCGCGCCGGCCTGGAGGGGGTGCTGTGGGCCGGGGGTTGCTCACCAGCAGGTCAGCGGTGCAGCCGGAGCTGACGCCCGTCGTGTTCAGCCTCTTGAGATCCACGTACTTGCCCAGAGCCTTGATGCCCTTGATGCAGCCACGAATGGAGCCTCCGGAGGGGAAGAGCTGCCGCAGGCTGCAGGGGACGAGCGTCAGGGGGCCGCCGCCTCCGAGCTCCTCGCCCAACCCCAGCCTGGTGTGCTCACCTTGGGGGCAGCTGGTCGGGCGGCACACCCCCCAGGTAGTAGGCATCGGCCAGCTCCAGCATGTTCTCCTGCTCCACACTGAACACGGTGGCCCTCTCCACGCGCACCAGCACACGCTTGCGGATGCCCCCCAGCAGGAACACCTGGATCTGGATGGCACCAGCGCGGGGGCTTCAGGGCGAGCCATGTCCCCCGCCAGCCCTCTCCGCCCCCGAGACCCTCCCCAACCCTGGCCTTACTGCCTTGCTGGCCGCAGTCAGGGGTGGTGGGGGCTGCAGCGGGACGGCCTCCTTCAGGCCCGCACCCAAGTCATAGAGAAGCAGGAGGCTGCCTTCCCTCACAGCCAGACACAGGAACTGGTCCTAGGGGCGAGGGCAGGGTCAGCACGGGCTGGGGTGGGGGTGCGGACGGGTAGGCGGCTGGGGGTGGGGTGGGCGTGCCTGGTGCTGCAGGAAGAAGATGATCCCGCTGGAGGACACGAGCCGCAGCTCCTGGTCAAAGCGTTTGGTGTGGCTGATCTGAGTCTCCACGCTGATGCGGGCGAAGCCAGAACCGTCCAGGTAGGAGCCGTCCGTGAGCCACGGGTCCCCAGTTGACTTGGAGCTGCCAGTCAGAGGTCGTGGGGTCAGCTGAGGGCGGGCCGAGCTGGGGAGAGGGTCGGTCCCCAGGATGCACGTACCGGGCACAGGGCTTATCCGCAGCCGTGTCCAGCTGGAAGGTCTTCTCGAAGTTGTAGAGACTGAGCACCTCCTCGTTGAGTGTGTCCATCTCAATGCAGCCCCGGTAGCCAGGGAAGCGCAGGGGTGCGGGGGGCTGTAGGCACAGCACAGTCAGGGCACCTCCCCACCCAGCACAGACCCAAGGGGAGGAACTCAGATTGCAGTGGGACGGACTGAACCCAGACACCACGCAGGACTTGCTGGGACAAGAGGGCAGGGCAGCTGCTGCCCAGGCCAGGCCAGGCTCACCGTGAAGTTGCTGGGATAGCCCCCCACGTAGAAGACAAAGTCGTCAGGCTGCAGGCTGAGCAGCCCCTCAGCCCCAGGGGCCACCGTGTCACCCTTGGTCTCATGGATCATCTGCTTCTCCACCGTGACGGACATGTGGCCAAACTGGAGGGTCCTGAGGGCAGAGGCGAGGGGGTGAGGAGTGGACATGTGGGCACATCGGCTGGTGGGGGGAGTGCACGGGGGGCCAGGCCTCTCACCTGTCGATGCTGATGGCTGCGAACTGCTCCCCAATGTCCTCATCGATGCTGAGGGCCGCAGGGCCGGCCCCCCCGAGGCGGTACACCCAGTGCACCCTCTGGTTACGCAGAGCCACACCCATGTAGTCGCCAGCGGCCTGCGGTGGTGGGACACTCAGCAGGACAAGGACCCAGCATGGCCCGCCCCTCCAACCGGGTGCCCGCTCCTCCCACCCCACCGAGCCCGCGCGGTACCTGGCGACTGCCCATGTACAGCACAAAGTGGTCCCCAGCGGCCTGGCCGGGGCCTGGCTCCGGGCTCTGTAAGTAGAACTTGAGGGCGGTGTAGGCGGCGAGGTCTGAGAGGTCCCGAGGGGCACGCAGCTGCACCCCCGAGCGTCCGTTGAACTTCATGGACACTTTGACCTGTGCGGGGTGCCCAGCCCATCAGCGTCCACTGCCTGGTCTCCCAGACACCCACCTTCCCTTGGCACTTGCACCCACCTTGCTGGCGGCTCCTCGGGCCTGGGCAATGAGCTCCCGCACACGGCCGATGCTGGCAGACAGGGCTAGGCTGGCGTTGTGCGCCCTGCGGTTTTCCAGGAGGCTCAGCTTGGCCAGGAGCTGGGGCAACGTCTTCTCCAGGGTGGACACTGCAGGGAGGGAATGGAGGGGAGGAGATGGCCCCGAGAGCCTTGCCTTCCCTGCCCCCGGCCCACCCGCTGTCCGGGGCGCTGCACTCCAGGGCCCACCTGAGCGGCCTGCATCGAGCACCGCCTGGCCCAGGTCCTGGCCCTGCAGGCCTCCGTACTGGCCCTGCCACTGCTCCAGGGTTTCCTGCATCTCCTGTAGCCGGGACTGCACGCGGGCCGCCGTGTCCTGGGCTTCAAAGGCCACAGCCTTGGCGTGGGAGATCTTCTGGCTCGTCTCGTCTGTGGCGGGCAGTGCGCAGGCTTGGAGAGGGGCAGGCGAGGACCACCCTGGCCTCACCTCCCACTGGGGAGCCCACAAGTCCCCCCCCGCCAGAGCCAGCAACAGGGATGCCCCCCTACCCCCACAGTTGTTATGAGAACCTCAGAGCAGTGGACACCCACCCTCTGTCCCCTGCCGATGGCTCCTCCTGTGCCAGCCTCTTGGGCCAGAACCTGGTGACCCTGACACCTCCCCCTGTCAGCTCAGCCCCGTGTCCCCACAGCCACCCACCCCAGGCCACCATCTCTCCCAGGGCCCCATGTCCAGGCTGGGAGGTTCTACTCTCAAGGGGTCAGGCAGCCACAGGGACCCCTCCAAATCTGGCTGAGACGCCTCACTCCTCCCCTCCCCCCAGGCCCTCCAGGGCTCCCCGCTCCCCGAGCCGTCCCCCTGGGCCCTCGGCTCCACCCACACCGGCTCCTTGCTTCCACCTTCACCTCTGTGCTTGCCCACCAACTGTACCTGCCCCTGGACGCCCCAATGTCCCCGAGCTCTGGGGGTGAGATGTCCCCACCACACGCTCCCATGCTCGCCCCTGGTTCTTTCTCTCCAAAGCACTTCCTGTCCCTTCCAGCTTTCACTTACTACTCGGGGCTATTTTGTTTGGTGTCTGTCTCCCAACCAAAGGCAGGTCCCCAGGGCCGGGGCTGTGCACTATGGAGCTCCCTCAGCCACCCTGGCCACCGTTCAGGACAGCACAGGTGTGAATGTGTCCCCCATCACAGAGCCCCACTGGGCAGCACTGGCTGGAGCAATGCCCATGCGGGGCAGGTATCCATTCATCTCTGGGGACGAGCAGCGAGAGCGAGGGCAGGGACAAGGCCCGACGTACCCGTGTCCATGGCCAGCATGGCCTGTGCCTCCTGGATTTGGGCTGCTAGCTGCTCCTTTTTGGCCCGGGCATCACGGAGCTGGGTTCCGGTACCCTGGAGGGTGGCCCGCGCTGCGGGGCAGGCAGCCTCAGTTCCAAGGAGCCCCCGCCCCCAGCGTACAGGTGCAGCCTACTTCAGCCCTCCTGACCAGGGAGGACCAAGGCTGACAGGCACGCAGATAGACGGAGACAGACAGACACGAGGGCTCTCGGCTCAGGGGGAGGCGTGGGAGCACCCCGAGTCTGGGGGCAGCCTCCCCCTCCCATGGCAAATATAATTATCCTCATCTTATAGATGAAACGACGGAGGCTCAGAAAAGCCAAGCCACGGCCACGGCCTGCCAGCGCTCCGAGGTTCTAGTGGCAGAGGGTACGCGGCTAGCCCCTCCCTCCGCCTGCCCTTTCTCACATACACGACCCTCCAGCCAGGACAGCAGGAAAACCATCAGCTGCTCCAGTGTCCTCTTCCCTGGGCACCTCCACGGTCCCAGAGCCCCGTCACAAGGCCAGGGTGGGCAGTGGGCCTTTGCAGGGCTCCCAAGGGGCAGACACGCCAAGGCGGTGGAAGCAGGATTCCCACACGGGGCAGCCGCCACCCTGACTCACAATGTGACGACCCAGAAACCCCCTCACACTTGGCTGGACGCTGAGGATCCCCGGAGACCCAGAAGGACCCCGGCACTCACCGCGGCCCAGCCTCCGCTGCTCCTCGAGGATAGCCTCCTCCAGGGCGCTGCTATTGGCCAGCAGCTGCCGGGCACGGGGCGCCAGGCCCTGCTGCACCACCATCTGCAGACACAAGGACAGGCTGCAGCTCACACCCAGCTGGCGGGAGCTGTGGGGGGACAGGGGCTCCTGTCGGGGCCCGGGGCAGAGTCAGGGCCTCACCGCCCACGTGTGGCTTGACTGCCGCAGCGCCTGGCCGGCGGCACCCTCGGCAGCCTCCACAGCTTGCAGGATACTGCTGTAGGCGCTGGCGGCCTCGATGGCCCGCTGGATGAAGCGGTCCTGGTTGACTCCACGGATGATGCTGTGGGGGAGGCAGAGGAGGATCAAAGGGCATGTGGGGGGGCCCCGATATCCTCAGGCCAGCACGCGGGCCTCCCGCCATCACAGCTGCTGCTGGGCCGGCCTGCCTGCCAGCTCCAGGCTCATACCCTTGTCCTGCTGCCTGCGACAACTGTGCCTTTCCTGCTCTCTGCCACCCACCTGAGCCTGGGCTTCTCCTTCTCGGAGCCCTCCCAGCCCAGCTGCGCCCCCTCCGGGCCCTGATTGTCCTGCAGGGACCTGGGCTGCGTCCTTAGGGCACTCCTCTTCGGGGCCCGCACCTGGACAAGTTGAGCGCCAGTTGGTCCAGCTGCCACGCGTGGGCCTCGGCGGCCTCCACCAGACCCACTTTGCTGCTCGCCGGGGAGAAGACCCGCATCTTCTCAAGCAGTGGTGTCCGGGCCCCGTCCAGGCTGGCTGCGAGGTGCTCATACTCCTGTGGGTGGGCGGGCTTAAGTGGGACCCTCATCCCGATCCCCTCCTCACTCTCCCCTGATCTGGGACCCTGGGGGCTGTGCTCTGCACACAGATGAGTGTCCAAACCCACCTGGTGCGCACCCTGGGAGGGGGTGCTCACCTCCTTGGCCCGGTCCATGCCATGCAGGAGCTCAGAGAGCTGGGCCAGGGTGTCCCTGGCAGCCTGCAGAGTAGCTCTCAGAGTGGCATTGTCCTGGGACAGCTCCTGTTTCCGTTGCTGGAGGTGATGGGGATTGAGGAGGGGGTGACAGAAACAGAGGTGTGACGGTAAAAACAGGGCACAGGGTGGGAGGGAGGAACTTGAAGGAGAAGGGGAGAGGGGGAAAGCGGGAAGGGAAAAGGCAGAGGGGGGAAGAGGGGGGAAGGGGGAAAGAAGTGGAGAGGGGGGAAGGGGGATGGGGGAAGGGGGAGGGGAAGGAAGAAGTGGGGAGGGCAGGGCAGGACAAGGCAGGGCAGGGCAAAGGAGGTAGGGGAGAGGACCCTCACCAGGGCCTCCTCCAGGCGTTCCTGGTTGCGGCTGTTGAGCTCCTCGGCCTCCCTCGTGGTGCCCACTGCCTGGTTCAGGGCCTCTCGTAGGTCCATGAGGCCGGCCTCGTGCTGAGCTAGCTGCTCTCGGGTGCGGGCAACCAGCACCTGGTTCCCCTCCCAGAGGCTGGTCAGCTGCTCCTGCACGCGGGCCAGCACTGGCCAAGACCCGATATGGGGTCAGTTGCTTGGGCAGTGACTCCGGTGCCCGCCCGGCCCCCATCTGCTCCCCAAAGCTGATGTGACACAACTCTACGCTGACCTCAGCCCTAGGGCTCCCGGCCAAGCCAGCGCCCCTCCCTGTCCCTGCCCGGCCGGGGCCAACACCACTCACGTCTCTGGGCCTCGCCCAGCTCAGCCTCAGCCGCTGCCCGCGGGGCCCCCAGGTCACGCGCCCGCATCTCTCGGAGCAGCCGCTCCACCTCGGCTACTGTCCGGCGCAGCTGCTCGCCCGACGGGGCCGAGGCGTTGGCTGGTGACAGGCGATCCGTCTGAGACTCGAGCTCTGTGGGGGTGGGGGGAGGGGGCCATCAGGGCCCGGGCAGACTCTGCCCACTAGCTTCCAAGCCCGAGACCCCCACCTAAGCATCTTCAGACCACCAGCACGTAACCCAGCATGCCCTGAACGGCTCCCAGAGACCCTGGCTCAAGGCCACGGCTGTGCTCCGCCTCTAGGCTGGCCCGGCCCTCTCGCCCACAGCCCCCACTCCAACACCCCCACTGCCGTCTGCTCAGCCTGCTCCCTCGGCCTCCTTGCCTGGCCGACCCCTCCTCTCAGGCCAGTGCTCGGCTGAATTTCCACTTCTTCCAAGACCCCTGGGCTGGGCCAGGTCCCCGCTTCTTGGTGACATACCTTAGTTTGTAATTAATGTGCTCACCAGCCAGTTTTCCCAGAGGCAGGGTGCCCACAGTCCACTTGCCTTCTTGCTCTGGCCACACCTGCCGCCTCTCCCACCTCCCCATTCTGCCCTGCTGTTTACTCAGCAGAGGCCCCATCTCCCTCTCTAAACGTCCACACCCTGCCAATTCTTCAAGGCCCAGCCCCCTGGAAGCAGCACCCCTGCTCTGAGCTCTGAGCACTGTTCTGCTTAGGCCCCATCCCCCTGCCTGGCTGAGCCAGTCCCTACCTCCCAGGGCACTGTCCACAGCCCGGATGGCCACCAGCAGCGTCTGCGCCCGGCCCAGTGAGGCCTCGGTGCTGTCCAGCAGCTGGCTGGCCTGGGCTCTCGCTCCTGTGGCCTGTGGACGCAGCATCCCATCAGCCCATAGCCTCTGCTGTTGGGTAGAAGGCTGGGGGCCTAGGGAGGGGCCTTGGGCCTGAGGTGAGGGTCAGAGGTGACAGTGGATGGTCTGGGGCCCAGGGAGAGGGGCCTCTGGGGGAGGAGTCTACTGAGGGGGAGGGGTTTTCTGGAGGAGCAACCCGGGGGTCTCTGGGGGAGGAGTCTCCAGGGGCAGGGGTCCCCAGGGGTCCTGCCTGGTCGTCCAGCCGCTGTGCGTCCTGCCCGAGGCTCGAGCTCTGTCTCTCCAGTATCTCCAGCCTCTGAGCGGTCTCATGGCGGGGGCCCAAGGGGCTCCGCAGCTGGCTCTGTGGGAAGGGGAAGGTGAGGGCCTGTAACCAGGGCAGGAGGCTGGGGGGCCGGGCTGAGAGGTACCTGCAAGGCGGCGATGGAGGCGTTCAGCCTGTGCAGCCGGGCCCAGGCCACAGAGCTGGCACTGACACCACGCAGCTGCTCCCGGATGGCGGGGAGGAGGGCGCTGGCCCGCACCAGGTCGTCCAGGAGCAGGACCACACAGTGGTCACACACTGCAAACAGCACAGGTGGGTCAGCGCAGGGTGTGGGACCAGGGAAGGAGTCATGGGATCGGCACAGCCAGGATAGGTCAGCCAGGGGTCATGGGGGTACTGAGCTGGCCTGAAGGTGACAAGGTTAGTGGGAGTCAGACGTCAGTGTGAGGGTCAGGAGGTTAGTAGGGAACTGGGCAGGTCCCAGGAAGTCAGCACAAGGTCGGGGTGAATACACAGTTAGAGAGGGTCGAGTGGTGGGGGTCCGGGAGGGAGTCCAGGACGTGGGGGTCAGAGGGTGGGAGTGAGGTCAGCATGGAGTCTTGGGGTCAGTATGAAGACAGGTGTGGGGTCCCCTGCAAAACTGAAAGGAGAGTCGGGATCTCAGGGCTCCTCTGAAAGTCAAGGTTAACGTGGGGGTCACCAGGTCAGCGTAGGCTAGGACCCGCACTCCCTCACGTGGAGTTGTGAGGGCTGGGGTGAGACGGATGTGGTCAGGCAAGGCGCAGGTGGGGTGGAGGAAGAGGCGCACCTTCGCAGTGGACACCGTGGCCCCTGGACCCGCCAGGCACAGGCACCTGGTGCTGGTGGCTGCAGGTGTCACAGCGCTCCCCGCTGAGCCCGGGGGGGCACGTGCAGCGGCCCGTGTGCAGGTCACAGTGGCCCCCTCGGCACTGGCAGCCTGGGGTGAGAGAGGTGGGGTGAGGGGTGAGGGTGAGTGGCCAGTGGAGGACCCCAGGTGCCCGCCACCCTGCAGCACCCTACCTGCCCACACTCACGCCTGCAGCCCTGCTCAGGGAGCCCCCAGTGGCCGGGGGCACACTCGCGGCACTGGGGTCCCCCAGTCCCTGGCCGGCAGTGACACTGCCCACTCTGGGGATGGCACTCGGAGCTCTCAGCGGCTGGTCCACAGGCGCATGGCCGGCAGCCCCCACAGCCCTCGAAGCCAAAGTGTCCTTCCTGCCGGGGCATGCTGCAGTCACAGCTCTGCCCAGCCCGAGGCCCAGCCCCCACATTAAGGCCCGCCCCTCCAGCCCCAAGGCCACGCCCAACATATCAAGACCACACCCTTTCAGCTCCAAGGCCACGCCCCCACACCTGGAGGCCCAGTCCCTCCCAGGCAGCCCTACCTGACAGCGGTCACAGCGCAGCCCTGTCACACCTGCCTTGCACAGGCACTGCCCGCTGTGGGGGTCACAGGCCTCAGTTCCACATGGGGAGCAGTCACACCCTGCAGAAAAGGGGCTGTGACACTAGCCCTGATCCCCACTCCAGCCTCTTCCCCCTCCCCCAAGAAGCCCTTACTGAGCTCATACTGTGCAGATTTCCACCCAGCCCCAAAGAAGCCCCAGCCCCTCACTTTTCACCACCTCCGGGCTCCATCCCCATCCAGACCACACAGCTGCCTACTGGCTGTCCCACTTTGCCCTCCTCCCCTGCAGCCCACACTCAGCCCAAGGAACCTGCCAGAGCCCGCCCTAAGCGAGAGCCAGACTCCAGAGCAGCCCTCGGCCTGACTGTGGGGTCGCTGACCGTAAGCCCCGGGGAGCTGACCGTGAAGAGGAGATGTGTCTGACTGTGAGCCCAGGGGTAGGTCTGGGGGCCTGACTGTGAGCCCTGGGGGCCTGGCCAGGTCCACTGTGGCCCTGCTGGGCCCGGTATGGAACACAGCCTGATCCCAGAGGACAGCCAGTGGCCCCACTAGCCCCCGCCCCCTTCGCCTACGGGTGCAGTTGCCGGGCAGCAGGGCATTGCCATAGAAGCCGGGGGCGCAGCTCTCGCAGCGGGGGCCGGTGGTGTGGCGCAGGCAGCCGCGGCAGGCGCCTGTCAGGGGGTCGCAGTCACTGAAGAGCATGTTGGGGTCGCCGTTGCCGCTGCAGTCGCAGGGCTGGCATGAGCTGCCCAGCACCAGCGGGTTCCCGAAGAAGCCGGGCGCGCACCTGGGGCAAGGGCAGGGTCAGTGCCTGCGCCCACGCCCACGTACTCCCGGGCCCCAGGCACTCAGGCCCACCCGCCCGCTCACCGCTCGCAAGAGACCCCCGCGTAGCCGGGTTTGCAGAGACACTGGGTGCGGCCACCTCGAAGGGCACAGCCCACGGCAAAGCTGCAAAGATGGAGGTGGTCGTTACACACCTGCGTGCCCTGGGTGAGCACCCTGTGTACTCAGGCTGGGCCAGGTGTCAGGGGTCCCCACCTCATGAGTCCACCCCAGCTGCCCCGGCCTCTGCAGAGGGGACTGCTGGCCCAACCAGGTCGGGGATGGTGGCGTTCCAGACCAGAGCTGTAAGGGCACGTGCCTGCCGGCCAACAGTCGGGACCCTGGAGGGGCTGGCCCAGCTTACTTGTTGGAAGGCACTGAGAGCGGACAGGGGCAGCTGACACAGGGGGCCGCGGGATCCTCAGACCCACTGCGCACGAAGCCGGGCAGGCAGTGCTCACAGTGGTCACCTTCGGTGTTATGCTGGCAGCCCTGGGGCAGAGGGGACAGCTCAGCACCGACAGTGGAGGCCCCGCTTCCACCAGCAGGATCTACTCAGCTCCCCCAGCTCTGCCAGGGATTCTCTATGCACAAGGCCAGCCGGGGCCCTGCCCAGGGCACCTCCCTTCCCCTGGACCTCAGTGTATCCGTAACTACTGACCCAGAGGCCCATGGTCTTCCCTGGTCTGTGCCTCTGGTGGCTGCCCTCCCTCCACCAGGGCCCCCGCTCACCACACAGACGCCCGAGCCAGGAAGGCAGCGGTCTGAGTGGCCATGGCACTGACAGGGCACGCAGCGACCCAAGAAGAGACCTTTGATGTCCCGGTAATAGCCAGGGGCACATTCCTGGGGGGTAGGGTGGGGCATCAGTGCTCAGGAAGGAGGCAGGGCCAGCCCGACGTGGGGGCAGAACAAGAGCCATGCTCACAGGTCAGACCCTCAGAGGTCCTGGCCCTGACCAGCTGGAAGCATGAAGTCACGGCGTGCAAAGCCACACGGATGGCCTGGCTCAGTGACACCCCCCTCCCACGTGGGCCGGGGCCGCCTTCTCCTCCAAACACCCCTTCCGAGTGGGTGGTGTGCAACTACAAGCCGCCTCAGACAGATTAGCTGGTGGACGGACGCACAACAGGAGAGTGACGAGTGGATGGCAGTGAGGTGGACGAGGTCTGGGTGGACCAGCGGACGGGGGTAGACTGGGCAGCGAATGGATAAAGAGCAATTGTATGCACGGAGGGCCGGGCAAGGAGACAGGGTAACAGTGGATTAGCGGACAGATGAGCAAGTGGGCTGGCTGGGCCTGTGGAGGGAAGGCAGGGCTGCTGGGAGGTGATGCACAGCGGGGAGGAGCAGAGACAGATGCGAGGGAGGTGGAGATGGGGATGGAGGGCAAGAGTGGACGCTGGGCAGGACAGACACAAGTGGGTGGGGGCAGACTGACTGGTGGTCGGCCTGGTGTCCGTCCCCACCACCTCACCTGGCAGGAGTCCCCGCGGTAGTTGGCAGGGCACATGCACAGCTCCACATTGCTGGCCGGAGGCCCCCCGCCCACCTCACTGGCCACCTCCAGCGCCACCCTGCGCAGGGAGACGGCCGAGGAGATCTGCGAGAAGAGGGCGCGGATCTGCAGCTGCTCCAGGCCGGCCAGCACCATCATGAGCTCCTCGCGGGACACGGCGCTGTGGGTCTCCGTGTGCCGGAAGTTCCCCTGTGGGGCCACAGGGTCCTCAGCGGGGCCACACACGAAGGGGCAGAACAGGAGCCCAGAAGAGACCTCCCACAGGGGACGGGGCACTCAGATCACGGAGCAGGAAGGGTGACACGCGGAGCTAGAAAACCCGTCACCCATGGGGAAAACTGGCACCTGGAGCCTCCCTCACACCATGTACAAACCCAACTCCACATACGGTAAGAATTCAAACATACAAAGACGCTAGTTTAAGGTTTAAGAAGAAAATATAGAGGAGTACTTTCTGATCTCACAGAGACAAACACTTTCTTAAATAAGACACAAACACAGTAACTGCAAATGGAGGATTGATAAATTTGAGTATGTTAAATATAAGAACTTCTATTCATCAGAAAACGCCTTAGAGAAAGACAGAGATGAGCCACAAACTGGGAGAAGACACTACCACTCTGAAGTCAGACACAGGCTGAGCGTCAAGAATAACACAGAGCTCCTCTAAAAAGACGAGAAAAGACCACAACCTGAAAGAGAGACCGGCAAGAGACACAAACAGGCAGCTCAGAGGGAACCACAGGCCTCTGAGCGTCCGAGGAGCCGCTCACCCACTGAGGATCAGGGTTCACAAGCCAGCACGGGCTGGGAGCGTTGCCCCAGGCACCAGGAAGGAGACGTGGTGATGGGAGTGTGGGAGAAGAGAGCACCCGCCCCCTCCCCTTCCGGGCCCCGTGCAGGCCTTCCCTGAGCCATGCTGGGTCCAGGAGGGACCCGGGCGCCCAGGCCAGCTCCACTCACCTCCACCAGCTGAAGCTGCCCACGGTGCACATGGCCAGGTGCCGGGTACACCGGCTCCAGGAACGTGATGCTCATCTGGTTGCCCTGGGGAGGCACGTGGGCAGGTGAGGGCCGGCAATCAGGCCGCCCACTGTCCCCGCTCAGCCGTGCCCGCCTGCCCCCCAGCAGTGACCACCCCGTCGGCCACCTGCAGCATCACGTCTGGCCTGCTCTCTGTGGGGATGAACACGTCCCCCCGCTGGGTCTCCGAGTGCACTTCGTAGCGGAGGGTCCCGCCATAGGACGACACCTGGAGATAGGACAGAACGATGAGACCTCGCCAGCCCCCGTCCACAGGCCCAGAGCTGACAGCAGTAGTCTTGGGCACCCCTGGGACAGGACACGGGGCTGGGCCTGGGCACCCCCTCTGGCTGCCTTCCCCACCACAGCCCTCTCGGGGGTCCTGGACACCCCCACAGAGCCCCCATTCCTCCTTGGACACAGGCAACCTCACTGCTGCCCCCCCAGGCCTCCAGAGGGTCCCGGACACCCTCGCAGTGAGGGCCCGATGTGCCTGCTCACCCGGTCCCCCAGGTAGGAGGGCGGGGCCTGCCAGTACAGCTCCGGGAAGGCCTCGGGCACATGCCGCAGGTCTGCATGGAGCAGCTCCGCCTCTGCCCGCAGCTCGTGGGGCACCGCCTGCCGGTCAGTGCTCAGCAGCGTCCAGCCCTCCATGTCCACGAACTGCAGGCACATGGATGAGTACCCTCTCACATCACAGGGCCCGTCCTACAGCCCAGACCCGGCTGGCCGGGGAGCAACATGTCCCCTCCCTGAGGCAGCACCGCTCTCAGGCTGGGGGCCCCCTGCCCGCACACCTCCCGGCGGCCATGGGCCGAGCTCCTGCAGCGCTCCGTGGCCCCGAAGCAGAAGCAGCGGGTGCAGCCTTTAGGGTTGGCGGCGTCGAGGGAGAAGGTCCCAAGGCGGCACTGGTCGCACCGCGGGCCCTGCACGTTCTCCTGGGGGCAAGAGGGCAGGGCGGGTCAGTCGGCCGTGTGCTGGGGCACCTGACACACCCTGGTTCCCTGTGACCTGCCTCGCCAACGGCCTGACTCTCCCAGAAGCTTCCAAGAAGCCCCGACCACCCCAAGAGGATGAATCTCAGGATAAGGCAAGAGGAGAGGCAGGCTGGGGTGGCAGGCCCCGGCTCCCCCGGGGCCCCCGGCCCCTCACCTTGCAGTAGCACTGGCCTGTGAGGGGGTCGCACACGCCGGGGGCAGAGCCTGCTTGGTGGCAGTTGCAGGGGCGGCAGGCGGGGTAGCCGTGGAAGCCCGGGGCGCAAGCATCACAGCGGCGCCCGGCCACGTTGGGTCTGCACCTGTGGACGCGGGTTCAGGAGCTGGCCGGGCCTCCCTCCACCCCCACCCCTCATGCTGAAGTGAGAGACCCCCCCAAGATCTGACCGAGAGGGCACTGCTGAGCCAAGAAGCACTAGTGGGGGGAGTGTGGGTTCAGGACCCAGGACTGCCCTGCGGCCATGGAGACACCCCGCCCCTGGCTCTCACTTGCACTGGCCGCTGTCCATGTCACAGGTGGGGTCTGTGAGCTCCTGGACACCGGGGCCCGAGCAGTTACACTCCTCACACCCGACCAAGGGGTGGCAGCCAAAGGTCTGGGGCTGGCAGACGATGCAGTCAGGCGGGACGGTGCGTGGAGGGCAGATGCACTGGCCCGTGAGCTCATCACAGAGGCGGCCGCTACAGTCGCAGGCTGTGGGGAGTGTGCACAGGGCTGGCAGACCTCTCTGCCCCACTCGGTGGCCCTGGACTGCAGTCCTGGGGGCGTGCCACTGTGGGGGCGGGGCCAGGGACACCCCACCCCCTGCCCAGTTCCACCCAGCTCCAGGCCCCAAGCCTCAGGCAGCTCCTCTGACAACGGGTCAGCTGCCCAGAATTGCCATCTAGTCCCCAGAACATTCTGGACAACCCTGCAAGGCCTGGGCCACAAGCCACAAGCTGCCTGAGGTCCCACAGTCAAGAGGTGAAGCGGGCCGGCCCCGTGGCTTAGTGGTTAAGTGCGCACGCTCCGCTGCTGGCGGCCCGGGTTCGGATCCCGGGCGCACACCGACGCACCACTTGTCCGGCCATGCTGAGGCCGCATCCCACATACAGCAACTAGAAGGATGTGCAGCTATGACATACAGCTATCTACTGGGGCTTTGGGGGGAAAGTAAATAAATAAATAAAATCTTTAAAAAAAAAAAAAAAAAGAGGTGAAGGACTGGTCTGCTAGGTTCCAGAATGTTCTCTTGACCACTGTGCTCATACTTCTTGGTAAGCCTCCCTCCACCAGGAAGCCCCCTTGGGCTCAGACACCATGCCCCTTGCTGGCGCTCCCGGGGATGAGCTACTCACGCCTGCAGTTGGGGAAGCCCCAGTAGCCGGTGGCGCAGCGGGAGCAGTCGCGGCCGATGACATGAGCGCGGCAGGGACACTGGCCTCCGAAGGGCTCACATGTGGGACTTGTGGCACCCACATCATGGCAGCCGCACGGCCGAGCCCCGTTGTTATAGAAGAGGGAGAGAGAGGTGGCGGCATCGCGGCAGAACGGGGATGAGCTGCTGGGGCTGGGGTGAGGGGCAGTGGTGAGGCCGGCTCCCTGCCCGGGCCCCCAGCTCTGCCCCCAGCCCTGCCCTGAGCCCGGCCCACCTGACATGGTAACCGTGGATGGAGCAGTGGCTGATGAAGTCGTAAGATTTGTCCAGGGGCTCCTCCCGGAGATAGCTGGAGCTGTAGGCGTCCTCAGGGACCACCAGCACGTACTCCTAGGGCATCAAGGCCTGGTCAGCTCCCCGTGGGCCCAGGAGCGGGCCCGGGTCAGGGGAGCGTGCCAGAGCCTGCCACCGGAGCACATCACCAGAGGGTCCCTGCAACCACCAGGGTCTGGCCCGGCAGCTCAAACAGTGGTGCAGTATCACAGTCCAACGCACACCTGGGCCGCTCCGAAGGGATGTCAGCCTCCGCAGCCTAACAGAAGCTTGGGGAGCGTGAGGAGGCAGCACCGACGAAGAGGCACCCAGCCTCCTGGGGCCCCTCCTAGCCCTGCCTACTAGACACAGTTTCGCCCTCCCTCTCCATCCCTCCCAGCCCCATCTCCTCCAGAAAGGCCACCCTGACCAGCAGGGCCCTAGGGGGCTCATGGCAACACCTGGGCTCTTGGGCCCTCTCTGGAGCCTCAGGTGGTAGGCCTGGAAGTCCCCCGAGGCTGCTGCCCCATGGCACCCAGCATGGGGCTGGGCCGAGGCAGGCAGGGGACACACCCTGGCTGAGTGACCAGTGGTGGTATGACACATGGGAGCAGGTCCCTGAGCAGGTTCAGGACATTCCCACGCAGGAACAGTAGCCCCATGCAGGGATGCCAGCCCCACGCTGGTCCCAATATGTCCACATGCAGGGACACCAGCCCCACACTGGGCCCCGGGATGCCCATACAAAGAGACGTCAGCCTCAGGCCTCACCAGCCAGAGCCACCGGCCATCGGGCACGCGCACGGTCACAGTGAGCTCGCTGTCGGTCACGTCCAGGATCGTCTGGCCTTCACACACCACCAGGGTACGGCAGCCATAGCCGTGTGGGCAGAAGCTGGCGTTGGCATGGCCTAGAGGGGGAAGAAAAGGCAGGTCAGCCCCCCTACACATCGACCACCCCTGGCCCCACAGCCTTGTCCCGGGCCCAGGCAGTCCTGGAGTCACCAGGAAGGAGGGGGTGCCCGTGGGGCAGAGCCCCACCCACCAGGGAGCGTGCATCTGTGACACATGACATGGACACATGACCCGCCTGCAGAGGCCTGCCTGGCCGGGCCCACTCATGCTACATAAACCAGCCGTGGTCACACGCAAGGGCCCACTAAGCACAGGTCCCTGAGCTTGGCTGAGCAGAAGCAAAACAGACAAACGTGGAAGACTACGTGTGCCATCAACCAGTGTCCCCTAGTGAACCCTCGATCACCCACGCGTGTGACGGGGTTAACCTTAATTCGTAAAACAGATGTGAGGAGCAGAGCCTGGAAGGGGGCTAGGAGGCTGGGGCTGCTGCCAGCAGGGGGCCCTGGGGCACCTCGTTTGAGAGCTGACGGCAGGACGTGGATGTGTGGACCTGTCACTCATAGCCAGGTAATGGGGACTGTGCTATGGCCCACGCAAGCTGTGGAAACAGCCCACGATCTGTCCACGTTGTGTGTGGTGACTGCACAATGGGGCCGTGTGGATGAGACCCCCAACAGGCTCCTCGTCCAGGGGTCTGCCCCTCCATCGCCCGCTGCAGCCACTCACCCTGCCAGATGCGGCCCCCATTGATGAGGACCTCCACAGCGAAGGTGGGGTGGACCGGTTGGTAGCCGTGCAGCAGGAAGGCATAGCGGCCCAGGGCAGGCACGTGGGTGGTGAAGACCACCGTGCCCTGCAGGGAGAGGCTCCAGTGAGCAGTGGTATGGGGACGCTGCAGGCGGACCCAAGCCGGCCCCCACTGCCGCCTGGACCACCTGCCGAGGGCAGCCGATAGCAGGGGGCCTGAGTGTCACCAACCCACGGCCCCTTCCCTCCCAGCCTGGGCCCTCACCTGGGGGTGGCGCAGCAGGGTGGGCTCCACATCGGGGTCCACGGCGGTGGGGGGCCGAGGCTGGGGCCCGGATGGGGGTGCGCCCGGCGTGAGCTCCTGCGAGCGGGTCAGTGGGAGGCCGGGCGGCAGCGGGAGCACCTGGCAGTCCCTGAGGATGATGGGCTGGGGCGGCTTCGGGAAGCGGGAGGGCAGGCAGGCGGCACTAGCAGGGAGCACAGGGCTGAGTCCCCATGTTGTGGCGGTGTGCCCCGCCGGCCGCTCCAGCCCCTCCCGGCCCACTACCTGCTGGGGCTGAAGGCACCGTGGCTGCTGATGCAGTGGACCCGGGGCTCCAGGAACTCCGAGCTGAACGTGCCCACAGGCACCAGGGTGATGCTGTGCTGCGGGCAGAGGGCAGGCATGGATGCGGGGGCGCAGGTGGAGCCCGATCCACACCCCGGTGAATGCCCGAGTCCTGCTCTTTGCATCAAGTCCCTGTCTTCGCTCCGGCTGGCCCCTCCCCTAGCTGCACAAACCCCAGCCCTCACCCGCGGTCTCTGGGGCCTGGAGCACTGCCCGTGGGCTCTCCCCCGGCCGCTCCCCCTCTCCACCCCATCGCTATCTGTAGTTATTCAATTGCACGTTGACCTCCTGCCTCCCCCTCAGCTCCAGGATGGGACCCGGCAGAGGCAGGCGCTCAGTAAGCATGGGTTCACGAGCAGGCGTCTCTGCCCTGCACCATCTACCGTGGTGTGGTAACACGCGTGACAAATAGAACAAAACAGGAGACATCACAGCGTGTCTAGAAAAATTCTGCAGCGAAGACAACGCTACGTGACCGCAGCAACACCACAGACCATCTCTGACGTGGTATTGGCCAAGGACGCAGCACAGAAGAAGGCCCCGTGTGATCCTAGTTACAGAAATTTCTGGAGCAAGCGAACTAAGCGGTGCTGTCGGTATGGGGGCATGGCTACCCTGGGGGGACTGAGGGCCGTCGGGTGGGGCATGTTGCCTCCTGGCCTGGGTGCTGGGGACGGGGAGAAACGTGCTGGGCTGCACACTGCGGGTACTTTCCCATGTACACGAAATAGCTCCAGGGAAAGTTTAAAATGCTGTAGTCCACGGTGACAGTGCTGTGTGCAAGGGAAGATGCCAGCAATCCAGCATCGACAAGTCAGGAGAAAGCAACGTGGTCCTGACTCTGGAAAGTGGGATTAGAAAAACACGGGGTGGGGCGCAGGCCACTCTATTGCAAGTCTCTTATCAAAGGTGGATGCTTTCATAAAAATACATGCATATATCACCCGTGTAAACTTTTTAAAGGCCCAGGGAAACATAACATAACGACTGTAAGAGACTCTGATGAGAGCAAATGTCATCTGTTTTGTCATTTATTGAATAAACTTTTATGCTTGGTTCTGGGTATCAAAATAATGATGAATACTGTACAGTGTTTAGTGATTACAAAGCAGGTTTGTATATATCTAGTCTTGTGATTTAATTCTCACAACTCTGTGAGGTTGATAAGAAGCAAATCACCACCATGCTGGTGAATCCTAAGCTTCAGGACCCGATGAACAGATTCCTTCCTAAGCCAGGGGAGGGGCTCCTGTTCACATGCTGATGTTTTTGTAAATTATACCAAAAAAATGGTCTTTGATTAAGATCACTTTCTTTCCACTCCAACTCCAAGGCATCATACTTCCCCTTCCATGGCTGTGGGCATTATTTCTAAATAAATATACATTTTGTACTCACAGGGAGAAAAAAAAACCCTGCAGGTCAGGGGGGTTCTAGAAGACTGGGGACAGGAAAGAGCTATGGGTGGGGCTGGTGATGGGCACCTGGGCGCACTGCACTCTTCTCCCCACCTCCGTGCACGCTTAAAATTGGAAAGACCTGACCCCATGGGAGGTTGTGGGGTCCATGCAAGTCAGGGGGCAGGACCTTACCAGGAAGAAGCGCGCCTGCTCGGCCGTGAGCCGGACGCTGGCCTCTCTGTCCAGGTGGAAGACCGCCAGGTGGTGCTGGGCATCCAGGACGGCGCCTCGGCACAGGGCACTGGGGGCCGGGCAGGGGCGGTCAGCGCATGGGGCAGCCTTGGGGCCCGAGCCCTCCCCCCAGCCCCGCAGCCCCCAAATCCTCGCCCTCCCTGAGCACCTGTATGGACAGGGGTGGAGGGTGAGTGCCCCCTGCTGCGGGGCCCGCTGGGGAGTGTGCACGGCCACGCCCACCTCCTGGCGGGCATCCTCGTTGGCGTACTCCACTACCAGGGCATAGCCGCCCGGCTGCGGCACCACAACCTGCAGCTGGACGTCCACCTGGGGGACAGGGTGATCAGAGGCCCCGCCCCAGCCCCCACCTGGAGAACGGGACACCACCTGCTCCCTGGACACTCCTGGTACAGCCCTTCCCACCGTCTTCCCCCAGCCTCTTCCCCCCGGTCTCAGGGCCTGTGCACCTGCTGTCCCTGCTGCCTGGGCCACTCCTCCCAGGACACTGTCTCAGCCGCTGGCCTTCCGACCTCTGCTCACTCCGAGCCTCCCTGCCCACCTGAGGCCCGCCGGCCTCCTCACTGCTGCGTGCCCAGAGGTCTGGCCCGAGTCGTCAGAATGAACAAAGTACCCGCCGCCGCCTGCTGATCAGCGGAAGGCTGGGGCCATGGATCCCCGTTTACAGACGAGGCCCAAGAGTGTCCTGACTCCCAAGGTCAAACTCATGGCCTTGCTCGTGTCTCTCTTGCCCTGCACCTGGGTCCTATCACTGTAACACAGACCCCTGTCCCCCAGGGCAAGGGTACACCTCCCTCCTGGTCTTGACCTCGCCTGCCCGCCCCTCCGTGAGGTCCCAGGCACACGCACGTCACTGCCCAGGCAGGCGGCCAGCAGCGGGTGCGAGGGGCTGAGCTGCTCCAGGGGGCAGGGCCGGGGTAGGCTGTTGTCATGGCGACACAGGGCTTCGGGCCCAGTGGCAGAGGGGAAGCCGTTCAGGGGCAGGTGAGTGTAGAGGAGGCAGCTGGTGGGAGGACACAGTCTGTGGTCAGCACTGGCAGGCGACCTGAGCAGAGTGAGGGTCAGGCCCCACGTCCCGCCTCCCAGGCCGGCCCTCACCTCTCCCCGGCGCGCTGGGCGGTGGGCCGGAACATGCAAGCCTCGGTCACCCGCAGCTGCAGGAGGGCGGCCTCGTAGTAGGCGCTGGGCAGCAGGACCACGTAGTCCTGGGGGCAGAGCAGGAGGTGGGTCGTGGGCACTGCGGCCCTCGCCACGGACCCACCCCACCCTGCTCAGCCCCTGCCTCACCAGGAGCACCCCTGTGGCCTCCACGAGAAGGGCCCAGGTGCCAGGGTTCAGCACGAAGGGCTCCCCGAGGCCTCTCTGGGGCACAGTGACGAAGGCGGGCTCCGTGCTGGGCGGGAAGGCCACAGGCTGGCTCTGCTCTGTGCCTGGGAGCAGGGACAGTGAGACCCCCGGACACAGCCCACGGGGCACCCCAGGCTGCACGTCCCCCAGGGCCAGCGGGACAGGCTTGACTTCCACACCCACCGGTGGACCCAAGGCGGGGCTGGGGCTGGGTGGGATCAAGGCATGGGGGGGGTGCAGGGGAGGGTGGGCAGGAGAGGGCAGGGGCGGACCCCGCCACACTCACAGTTGACACAGGTGGCAAGCTTGCCCTCCTCTCGCACAGAGACCTGCCCGCTCACACTAGTGGGCCCACGGTTGACGTATCGGAAGACCAGCCGGAAGAGGTCAGGGGAGGTCACGTTCAGCCTCGCCACGATCCTGGGCTGTGGTGGAGTGCGGAAAATCGGGGTCACCCCTCCTTGGCCATTCCCAGCCCGGTCCTGGGACCTCAGGGGCCTGCCCACCCACTCTGCCAACTGCCCTGGGAACTTCAAGCCGAGCCCCAGGTTGGGGCAGCACCACACGCACCTGAATGGGTGTCATTTGCGCGTAGCCCCTCCAGCTGAAGTTCTCGAACTCCAGGGGGTTGAAGCCCAAGCGCACGGCGTGGCCCTCGGGCGTGGCCGCCTCCTCCAGCTCCAGGCGCAGGTGGTGCAGGTCGGGGAGGTAGTGGTCCTGCGCTGGCCTAGCACGGCAGGGGTGGGCAGGGGTGGTCAGAGGTGGCCGCCATCCTGGCTGGGCGGGGCAGGCCCTGGCCCTGCACTGCCCACCATGGTCCCCAGGGAGCAGCCCAGTGGACAAGCTGCCACCCCCAGGCCCCGTCCCCTGCCTCGTCAGGGTGGGGGCACCCACTCGCTGCAGGTGAGGCCCTGGGTGTTGGGGCGGCACCGGCAGGCACCCGTCCTCGGTTCACAGCCCTGGCCCAGCGCACCGCCAACGTCGCACCGGCAGCCTGCAGTGGGAGGGAGCGAGGTCAACGCTGCCCAGCCCCCACCTTGCCTCGGTGCTCCTCCCACAGCCCGCGTCAGGACCCTGCTCTGGCCTCACAGACAGGCCCCTGGGGCTCCATCCACCCTCTGTCGAGAGCAACAGGGGCTGAGAAGCCAGCTTTGATCTACCACTGGGGGCTGCCTGGGGCTCTGAACACTGGAGGTTCTGAGTCCAGGCTCAGGGGCAAGGGCACTGGGATTGATTAGTGATGTCTGCCAGGGGTGCGGGTTGGAGAGGAGGAGGATTGAGGGCAGAAATTGTGCCTCATCTCTCCCATGCCCAGCACGGGCCTGGCCAGGCATCCAGAAGCAGCTCCATGAGTGCCAGTCCCATATCTGGGCCTCCCCGTGCCCAGGCCCCGGCCAGGGTCCTCACCCCATCTGCCCCATCCTGGGCCTCAGCCTCCTCCGCGACGTGGCCTGAGGGCTGACTAAGCAAGCACTTACTGCGGCAGCCGAAGTAGTCAGCCTGGTCCAGCCCGAAGAAGCCGTCTTTGCAGGCTGCGCAGGTCTGGCCGCACACATGGGGCTTGCAAAAGCAATGGCCACTGCCCTAGAGACCAAGGGAGAAGGTGGGACCAAGCAGGGGTGGGGTCCTGACGCGCCTGTCCCCACAGCCCCCAGCACCTGGGCCCTCAGACTCACCAGCTGGCACTCAGCAACTCCACCCAACGTGCCCCTGAGGTCACAGCTACAGCCTGGGGGAGGGGCAGAGGGAGCCTGAGAGTAGGGGAGGGGAGGAAGGCCTGGACTCCATCCCCGCCCAGGACTCCATGGGGCCAGCCCTCTCCTCCCTGCCCCCCTAGGCTTCTCCCCCAGCACCCCAATCCCCACTCCAGGCACACTCACGGGTGCAGCCTTCAGGGTTGCTGGGACTCAGCCCCCAGAACCCAGGTTTACAGCGATCACAGCTTGGCCCCTCCACGTGAGCCCGGCATGTACAGGGGGCCTGTGCCAGGGAGAAGATGAGACTGAGGGTCAGAACGGGTCCCTGCCCTCTTGCTCATAACCCTCAGCCCTGGAGCCCTGCCCCTGCCCCATCTCTGGCATGCCCCTGGAGCGGGGACAGAGGACTACTGGGGAGGAGATGGGCCCTGAGGCTGCTGTGACAACCAAGCAGCAGGGAGAAGCGATGGTCTCACTGGGCCCGCTCCCCCCCACCCCCACCCCGTGAGGGCTGACCAGGGCTTACCTCAGGAAGGGTGCGATCGGCCGGGGCCAGGCCGGCAGGGTGGCAGGAGCCAGCTGTGGAGACACCCGGGCCACGGTCATTCCTCAGTCACTGACCCCAATGGCCAAGGGCTTCCCCAGGCCCGGCCAGGACACACGCCTTCCATGCACGCGAACAAACGTGAAAAGATGTGCCTCTGTGCTGTGGTCCCCGCAGCCATGAGGGCACGTGCAGCCCCCCAGAGCACAGGTTGTCAACATGCAACAAGCACACACAGCACGTAAACATATGTATGAACAAGCACCGTGTGAACAGCCACGCAAGCATACGTGTGCACAAAGCACGTGAGCACACATGGATACACACATAGCACATGAACACGCGTGAAAAAGCACCGTGTGAACAGCCAAGCAAGTATATGTGTGCACAAAGCATGTGAGCACACATGGATACACGCACAGCACATGAACACATGCAAGTGAACGTGCACATCCAAGAACATCCACATGAAGATGTGCGTGGACACTCACACGGCACACGAATGCACACACACACAGAGCACGTGGACATTCACAGGGACATGGCACATGAAGAATCACGTGAGCACACATGGGGGCATGCAGGGCATGTGAGCAGTCACGGGAACACTCAGCACATGAAGGCACACAGCATGTGAACAACACACACAGCACAGGACACACACACTGTGCCAGCCTCACCTTCGCAGTAGGGGAAGTTGTAGGCACCAGGCACACACATGTCACACCGCAGCCCCGTCACGTGGGGCCGGCAGCTGCACTGCCCGCTGCGAGGGTCGCAGGCCGCGTGCAGGGAGCCATCGGCGGAGCAGTGGCAGGCTGGGGGAGGAGGATGGGGTGTGGGCACATGGTGGGGACGAACCCGCCCACCCTGCCTCCCACACGGGCACTCACGGGCACAGTCAGGGAAGCCATGGAAGCCGGGGCTGCACTCCTGGCAGGTGGCACCTGTGTAGCCAGGGCGGCAGCGGCACACCCCGCCCGTCCCGCAGAGCTGGTCCAGGGTACCCCGGGGGTCACAGGTACAGGCTGCAGCGGACAGGGGGTCAGGCTCTGGGCACCTGTGGGTGGTCCTCCTGTCCCACTTGGGCCCCACCCCAGCCCTCTGCTCACCTTGGCAGTTGGGGTAGCCGTGGTAGCCGGGGCGGCAGCGGTCACAGTGAGGGCCATCAAACTCAGGTCGGCACAGGCAGTGGCCAGCCTCATCGCAGCCCTCGGGGAGGGTCCCTGCAGGGCTGCAGCCGCACACTGAGGAGTGAAGAGGTGCACAGGGGGCCCTGAGCTGGGCAGGCCATGCCGGGGCCTCATACCCACCTGTGCCCACAGGGGGAGGCCTCACTCACACTGGCAGAGTGGGAAGTGGAAGTAGCCAGGGGCACAGCGGTCACACGCAGCCCCCTCAAAGCCTGCCCGGCACTTGCACTGGCCTGAGTCATGGTCACAGTCACCATCCACCACTCCGGGGCTGGAACACTGGCATGCTGCAGGGAGGGGTGGCATGCTTGGTCAGAGAGGGGTCAGGCTCCCAGTGTCCATGCAAGGACGGGGACAGGGCTGGACTCACGTTGGCAGCCTGGGCCGTAGAACCCTGGGGCGCAGAGCTCGCAGTGGCTGCCCTGGAAGTTGGGTTTGCACACGCAGCGCCCCACCCGCGGGTCCTTCCGGCAGGCGTTGCCCTGGGTCCCGGCGGCACTGCAGTCACAGTCTGAAAGGTGGGGGGCGGGAGGGGAGTCGCAGATGCCCTCCCTGCCAGAAAACCTCCCTTCTCCACAAACTCATTTCCTTACACCTACACTGTATTCGCACAAAACTGAAAGACAATAAAAATCCCAAGAAGGGAAAGCCGACATTTTGGGAAAACAGTGGTGTGCGTGAAATCAGGACAACTGTAAACACATCTGATTAGTTGTTTATAACGCTGATACCAAGTCAACTGCAGGCGTTAACACAACCAGAGAAAACGTAAAAACAAAACACAAGGTGAAAAGAAAATTCTAGTCTTTACAAATAATTCTGGGGGTTGGGAAGAAGAAAAAGTGTGCTAAGTATCTTAACCTATGCATGAAAACAAGGTCATAAATACTATTTAATTTTTGTTACTGATAGAATATAATGACTAGATATTTATCAAAAATGTAAGAGTAGCCATGGGCTTGACTAGAAGATAGAAACAGAACTTGCAAACCCTCTGAGAAGGAAACGCAAACCAACCAACCAAAGCACGTTTTGTTGCTCAATTCAGCAACAGGCAGGAAAGGAGAAATGTAAGCAGACAGGGAGAAACAATACAATAAGGGCAGGAGCAAGCCCAACTGACAGTGGCCACAGTCTCTGTGCCAGGCCATCTCCTTTCAAGAGATAAAACCCAAAGGTGTCAGTTTCACTCTAAACGGAAAATCCAGAAATTATCAGGCTACCAAATCTGACCATGATGCAGTAAAACTAGGACTAAACCATCAAAAAAAAGGACAGAAAGGAAATCTAACCACCTGGAATGACAAGCACTCTTCTAAATAACTCAAGTTGAAAGGAAAATGGAAACTGAAGTGATATACTGTTTAGAAAAGAACAATAGTGACAACTCAGCATATCAACCTTATGGGGTCCACCTAGCCAAAGCTGCACTCTGAGGCAAATTAATAGCTTTAACTCAGCATTTCTCAATGTCAGCACCACTGACATTCTGGGCTAGATAACTCTTTATTGTGGGGGTGGGGGCTGTCCTGTGCACTGTAGGATGTTTAGCAGCATCCCTGACCCCTACCCACTAGATGCCGGTGGCACCCCCCAAGTTATAACAACCAAAAATGTCTCTAGACATTTTCCTGTGGATCAAAATCATCCCTGGTTGAGAACCAATGCTTTAAACCTTTTGGTTGCTAATTGAGACTGAAAATAAAAAGCAATTGAAGAAGCTATAAAAACAGTAATAAATCAAAAGAAAGCAGAGAAAGGCAAATACCATATGATCTCACTTATATGCGGAATCTAAAAATAAAACCAAGAAACAAGCTCGTGGATACAGAGAACAGATTGGTGATTGCCAGAGGCGGGGGGTCGGGGTGGGTGAAATGGATGAAGGGGGTCAAAAGGTACAAACTTCCAGTTATAAATAAGTCCTGAGGATGTAATGTACAGCATGGTGGCTAGAGTAAAGAATAACGTATTCCATGACTGGAAGTTACTATGAGAGTAGATTTTAAAAGATCTCATCGCAAGAAAAAAAATTCTGTAACTACGTAAGGTGATGGATGTTAACTAGACTTATTGTGGTGATCATTTCACAACATATACAAATATCAAATCATTATATTGTACCCCTGAAACTAATATAATGTTGTATGTCAACTTTACCTCAATAAAAAGAAAGTATATAGAAGGAATTAAAGATTTTAGTTCAGATTTTTCTATACTAGGAAGTAAAATCTTTCTCCCAAACTTAACAAAGAAAAAACCCCAGCGAATCTTATCAATATAACCTTAAGCTATACTTTGAGAACACCAATAATTCAACAGTCTTCTGTTAGGTCTAATGAAGGAAGAAAAGAAAAGAAAGAAAGAAAATAAAAATAGACAATAATGATAACAAAAGGAAATTTAAAAGTCATGATGGAATGCTGTGTGTAACTTTATGCCAATAATTTTTTTTTTTGAGGAAGATTGGCCCTGCGCTAACATTTGTTGCCAATCTTCCTCTTTTTCTTTTTTCTCCCCAAAGCCCCAGTACATAGTTGTGTATCATAGTTGTAGAGTTGTAGCTCTTCTATGTGGGACGCTGCCTCAGCATGGCTTGATGAGAGGTGAGTAGGTCCGCACCCAGGATCCGAACTGGTGAACCCCAGGCCGCCGAAGCAGAACGCATGAAATTAACCGCTACGCCACTGGGCTGGCCCCATATGCCAATACATTTCAAAATCCAAATGACATATACTATTTGCAGATGACATGATTTTATATATAGAAAACCCTAAAGAATCCACCAAAAATCTATTAGAAATAATAAACAAATACAGTAAAGTTGCAGGATACAAAATCAACATACAAAAATCAGTTGCATTTCTGTACACTAACAACGAAGCAGCAGAAAGAGAAATTAAGAATACCATCCCATTTACAATTGCAACAAAAAGAATAAAATACCTAGGAATAAACTTAACCAAAGAGGTGAAAGATCTGTA